TACGACGTACGTAGTACGTACGTACGTACGTACGTTACGTAGTACGTAGTACGTAGTAGTAGTAGTACGTAGTACGTAGTAGTAGTAGTAGTAGTAGAGTAGAGAGAGAGAGAGAGAGAGAGAGAGAGAGAGAGAGAGTCTGACTTCTGGTTCTTATTTCTCTTCTGTTTCATTTGCATTCTGTTGACAGTGAAATTGAGAGAGTTTTTTTGGTTAGAGAGAGATTGGGAACCGTTTCAAGAAGAGCGGAGGGGAATCTTCTCTCTCTACCCTTTTGGGCAGTATTTTTGAACCATTTGCAAATGTGTTTTTTTTTTTTGGGTTATTTTCCTGTATTATGGTGATTTATGGCTGGAGTTTCTTCCACCTTTTCATGTTATTTACACCAGAATAAATAAAAGGAAACTATCGAATTTTTAAGCCTTGAGAAAAAATAAATAAATTTGGTAGTAGAATTTAAACTTCCTTTTTGACTGGTCGGTTTCAAATGTCACAGTCCAAACAAACTTTTGGTCAATTTCTTATTTTCTTTCTTTCTTCTCTTCTTTTTCTTTTTTTCCTTAATATGATCAAACCAAGCTTACTATTGGGTTTAAGAAACAGTAGAATGAAGTTAGGAATTTTCACTCTAATATCGTCCTTTTCATCAGATCTTCTCATGGTGTTTTGTACTTTTACAGTTGCAATAGCGACCCAAGAAACAACCAGTAAGCATAATCTTAGCCCTCTTCATGGATCAAAGCAACAACAACATTTCAGGATTACCATGGGGTTTCAACTCTAAACTCTCTCAACAACCGCCGAAAGGCCCACAATTGAGCAACAATTTGAACCCCAGGCCTTCTCAGCCATGGGCAAACCTCTCCCAACAAAACCCAGCCTCAAAACATCATCGAACCCCCACATTTATTGGGGTCATTCCTCAAGGCCAGTCATCATGGCTACATGATGATTTCATGGACCTTGAAGGCCCACTAAAGCGGGTCCTTCATCGAAGATCAGCCAGTGATTCTCTTGCTTTTATTGATGTGGACCCAAATGAATTTGAATGCAGGAGTAGCGGTGCTACCTCTCTTCAATCCAAGAGCGAATACCAAGATTTCGAGCGGTTGGATGATGCTGAAAATTTGATGTTAATGTTGGATGAAATCGAGCCATTTCAAAAACAACAATCCTCTGGCCAATCTCCAATGGACATACGGTTATCAGAGGGCCATTTGCTTGTGTCGACATCTGAGAACCCATCTACACCGTCGGATAATAACAGCATAAATGAGCCTTATGTTGAGAAGGCAGTGATGGCTCCTGGTCAAATCAAGAGTGAACAAGAGGTTCAGAGCGCTTGTAAGACCGAGGAAATTACTCCTTTACTGTCAAAGCCCGTGGCTGATGCTTCACCATCTACAAATGTGGGCTTGGACATGAACTTGGACCCCAAAAGGATGAAGAGGTAAATTCTCTTTCCAGTTTGTAGAACTCCTGGTTCTTTGGTTCTGGTATTCCTTCTGTAAAAATCTTTATGGCTGAGTTTGGATTAGGCTTATTTCCCACACTGGCAAACTATTCCTTCAACCATGCTTCTAGTATCAGCTCATGTAATGTGATAATTAGCACATCCAATTATTACTTTTTTTTATAATTAGCTGACCACCCAGTTAAAAAATTGTGATGATTAGGCCACCTAATTTTTGATAAAAAGGTTGATCTCTCCTGATTTGTATATTGAAATTTGTCTATCAGAATTTTAACGGATAGGTAAGCTAACCTTCTCTTAATTATTTTTTTTAACGGATAGGCGGAAATTTTCCCTGATGCGCGGCCACTATGATAATCATTACTGCTAAGTTTAGTGCCTACTAGCATTTTCCACATTGGTGAACTGTTTTGGCAACTACAATTATTGGTCTTTGATAACTTGCACTATCCAATTACTACTATTTTATAATTTGCCCTGCCAGATTATTATTGATATTGCGCACTCACCCAATTATTATTATTATTTTGATAATTAGCCCACCCAATAATATGGAATTGGTTTTTCATTCCTGTTTACATCATGATTTTCTCTTCAGAAGTTTTTAACAATTACTCAAGTTGCTATTGCAGAAAACTTTTATTCCATTTCCATATTCTTTACAGAATCTTTTTCAGTAAGCTTAACGCCGACATTCTCGTCAGCGATGAATTCTGAGGGAGGGATGCTTTTAGTTCAGTGACCAAATCCTAATTTAGTACACTCATTTATTATATCCGAAAATTAGCATAGCTAAATATTGTCAATCTCTCCTGACTTCTTGTGAATTGTCTCTTCAGAATTTTAGCGAATAGGCAATCTGCTCAGAGGTCCCGTGTTAGGAAGCTTCAGTACATATCTGAACTGGAAAGGAGCGTAAATGCGTTGCAGGTAAACGCTTCTCTCTCTCTCTCCC